TTTAACGGACGAAAGCTCAGCAATGATTCATCGTGGGCCAATGTACAGAGGACCTATTCGCACAAATTTAGTCATGGCTCCAAGGCAATGCACCTATAGCTTCCGATGAGACCAACTTAGGAATCATTTCCACTTGCCTCTTTAAACAAAATGAAAGGTGCTCCAAAACCAAATGATTTATGTCTGCAGGGTTCACATTAATTACTATAAATGATTTCATAATTCCTATTTTAAGCACATATGTATAAAAAAATAAGTTAATAAGGAAGACAGCGTACGTGAGTTAGCTCTCTACCCTATTATCTTCTTTGTTCTATAGAACATACAGGAATAAAAAATAAGCACTTATTTATTTAATCCTTGTCGAAAGGATAGCACAAAACTTGAGATCTAATTTTTTAATAGCAGTTTCATTAAATGATATATCTACAAAGAATAAGGAAAATGTATCAAGGCTATGCTGATTTTATTCCTAGTTTTCCCTCCAACCATAGTTGCAAGGCTTAGGCTGAATTCCACTATTATACTGTGTATGAAACTAGCAGAGTGAGTTAGGCCTAAAATATTTATGAGCCTTATTCATCCTAGGCCGGAATTGATAGAAAAACTGATTGTCGAATTTTCTCAAGATGATATAAATAAGCCTAACGTCTCCATCTAATTTTACATCGCCTTGCACTCTCATCCAGGATAGAATGTAGTTTCGAATTCGCCTAGGTCAATCACCCCAGCCGGATTTCACAGTATTAGCAAATTGTCGACATATTACCTCTGCACCACACTGCCACGAATGCCCTGTGAAAGGCTAAATGTGAATTACAAGGAAGGCCAGACTGTTCCCTCATCAAACATATCACATATTGACTTAAATATTTATATTCGTACTAAGTGGGTTTCGAAACCACTACTAGTAGTAGGAGAGGATTAATTATTACGTATTTTCTAAATTAGAGGGAAATTGCATAAATATAAAAATGAGTATGAATCAGAAATCTAAACAGGTAGTGATGATGCATAGTTCGTTGAAGATGAAAGAAATAGAGGCTATGAATTAAAAAGATCGACTTACCCCCAACTGGCAAGCGTGGACTGCCTGTCACAAATTGAACAAAGAGGCGCCGCTGGGCAGGGGTCAACTCAGAAAGGATTTCGAAAAGATAGCGGATGGCACGTGATTGCATCGTGTAGCCATGATCACAACAGCAAGCTTGCATTAACTCGGCAACACTCCAACCGTCACACTTTGACCCAGAAACTGATGAACCGATGCAGTTGTTGAATGACGTCATTAAGTTGCCAGATCTGATAGACGAACTAGTTCCTGTTTGGAGAAAATCAGCCATTTGTTGGCGTGAATTACGACCGTCAGAACCGACATTTAGGGAGATTTGAGAAACGTCGGAATCATTGAGGTCAATACCAGAGATTCCGAATCTGCCTCCAACCTCCGTTTCGATGCTTCCCCCGCAGAACAGGCCTTCTAGCTCATCCTCATCAAAAAGATAAGCCAATCTTGAGCGAACTTGCCACGAGAGGACAGAATCAAAGCCTTCGGCTAAGGCTGCAAACTGAGGCCAGACCCCGGCAGACAGGAGCCAGTTGGTGGCAAGATCCAGATAGGTAGAAAGATTGGATCCAGTAACAGCTAAATTCATTCCATTCTTAACCAATTCAATCTATATTCGAGTAAATAAATGCAAGAATCAGACAGCAAAGTTTAGTAATGGAATGAAATATTAAGTTAGATCCTAATAAATCACAAAGAATATAATCAAGAATATGGTACAGAAACCCACTAAGGGAAGAAGACTAAAGGATTACCTGTAGAAAAAGTGGTATAATTACTCATGATGAATGGTTAAAATGCCTTTTATGACGTGTAATTGGGTAGGACCCCTATAAGAGGGAAGGCAGCAAACTTTATGAAATCCCTAAGTGGTAGAGTATGATACGTTGTTGAGAATAATCTGAAGAGTGAATCAATGCATTTAAAATACACATAAATTGAAATAAATGAAAAAGAAATGTTTATGTCATCATTTCGAGATTAAAGCCATACTATTGAGCAATTGGTTTTAAGGCTCATGATAAAATGGAAAGATTTAACATTACCACGGAACATAATTACACAAGTTAATCCTAAGCCAGAGTAGAGGCTTTGGCCTCGCTTCTAACAGGATTCTAAATAGGGCATTCAGTTCCAAGAGCACACAAGTACTACAATTAACTATTTAAAGATATTATCAATAGTTAAAGAATAGACAAAACGAAAATTTCTTAATTTGCATAGATAAAAAGAAAGCGAGTTTCAATTCGATTCTCTCATCGTGTCATCATAGTAATGCCAAAATTATTACAGCAATCCCAAATTTCAATAAGGAAAACAGCCGCTGAATTGCGGCAATTCAGAAGATTGCATCAAGCAATATTCTCTCAATGATGTCGGCATACCTTTCGTTTCGTTTGAAAAAGCATGTGGAAGGGATTCCTAATTTGGCCTCGCAGGATACTGAAGGTTGTGCGAAGATCTACGTTCACCGTCCAGCGACCCCGATGAATCCGTGCTGTACTGTCATTCGTCATGTGACAGAATTTGTAAGAGGCAAAAAGGGATTCATCAAGGATGCAGGACGGTAAGCTGTCTTCTTCGCACGATTAGTCACATGTCCAAGGCAATCATCCTTCGCTATCCAATGAGGCAAAGTTAAGAGTCCCCATGATCCACATTTTTAAACTAAATGAAAGATATGACCGTATCAATATATTGAGGGATTTTTCGAATCCCAACTCATGTTCATTGGCTCAAAGAGAACCGGGAATCCGAATCAAGATTCCGATACGTTGAATTCACTTGTATTTCGGATGAAGGATGAAGATACTCAAGGTCTACCCTACTGAAAGACTTGTCGGATTCCGCAAAGCCGTTTGTCAGTTGGTTTTAGTGGAACATACTTGCTGATGCTGCCCCTCCGACTCCAGATTTCGTGTTATATGATGGAGATTATCTAAGAAATATGCCATTCTTACAAACAAATTACAACTCAAATTAGAGACGATCGAATATGATGAACACTGGTAAGAGAGTAAGCAAGAAATACTTATACTTAATTGACAGATTTAAGGATACAGATATTGAGTCTCCTGAAGAAAGGGGACTTAACTAGTCTTTTGTTTGTAATGGCGCTAATTACGAACACACTTTTATGCGTCTTATTACACTCTCACATGCAAATTTAAAAAAACTCATTAACTTAGCCAAATGTGTGTCTAATATTAAACAATCGGAGTGATGCCTTGAAGAAAAAAATTAAGGGGAGTTAAAGGTTATTAAGCATTGATGAACGAGGACGTGACATTCTGTTCTAATTCATTTAAGTTATCACTGCTGCTATTAATGCAATCCCATAAAGGCACATAGGTATACGCAAACACATACTTCTAGCTTAGCATATTGCTTGAAATAACCAAATTACTTTGTGTGCCAACCCACAAACGTTTTGGTTCAATATTGAACCTAAACAAAGCCAGCAGTACCACAACATTTGTGGGTTGTCACACAAGCAACTAGGGCATAGCAAGTCATATACTTGGTATTAGGAATAGTGACAGGATAGACGAGGCGGCGATTGGAGCTAGTTGGCTGACAGTAGGTTTTACCAGAGGCTTGGTCCATGTAGCAAAGGTATGACCATGACACTTACTCTGTGACTTAAGCCTCTAACTAATCGCCCATGTGCAAGGGATGGACGAATGACGCCTCAAATAAAACAGATGGGAGGGGCAGGGGTCGAGTGAAATACATGTAAAGGGAGATAGCAGACAGATTCAACGGGGCAAGAGGGAGACTTTGATATGACCCATGGAAGGACTACGTGACAATGTGACAGACTCTGGTTAACATTCCCAGCACAAGGGTGAAGGGGGTGAATGGTTTTCATGAATGCCGCTCGAAGGAGCACACGACACTACATTAAGAATAAGCACGGTGAAAGCTGTGACAGGGAAGGCATGATAGGAGAATATAGGAAATTTGAATAGGCTATGGCAGAAGGGGAGATACAATAACTGTTTAGCACACGTTTGGTCATAGGATGGGCTTCACTTATCCCTTTGACGAATTTGTAATATGGTGCTACGAATGGCGAGACTCAGTGGCGATGCCGACTACGATGCCGGCGAAACGTCTGGGAATGTACCATGTCCACGGTCCTATTCTGTAAATGATGATCCATACAATGGACTCCGGACTAGGTGCGTTCCTTTAAGCCTTCCTACTAATATAATCAAGTTGCGAAAACAAGGTCAAACAACTTCTATACAACGAAAGGAGACTGCGACCACATAAAAAACCA